ATGCTGACAGGCTCGGGCACATTTCAAAGGTCACCTGCATTGCTTAATTCCTTTTTAGACCTGATTTGATCATGACCCGCTGTGTTCACGGTTGTAGCCCAGAGCAGAGCKGCTTCACTGACCTCAGGTAATGGAGTCAGCATTGATTGGATTGCAAATACTAAAAGGCAGACTGACACTAGGACATGTTTATGGCACATATTTACACGTGTACTGATCGTATTTCCCTCTTTTCAAGATAATGTTTTTGACCAGCTGCACTTTCGCAGAGCCTTCTTGCTCTATCTCCATCTGCAGGCCTGGTGAGTACACGACTCGACAATTTCAATCAAAATAGCAATAGACATCTAAAAACTCATTAAAAAGGCATTACTACTGGTGGCGGGGAGTGGGGAGGGAGGAAAWGGAAAAAGGCGAGAGGCAGTGAAGGAAAGCAGGCTCCTCAGACCGCAGACTGACCACACGGKGCTGTGGGCCGGGGCGCACGGGCCCCACTCGCCCCTCTCAGCCTGATCCTCGCCCCCTCACTCCTCCCCCCCTCCAGTGGCACCGGCCTTGCCAAGGGGTCCCTTGGTGTCCCCCGGGTCCCCCCGGCCCGGCTGCCCGCGGGTGCTGCCCACACGGCGATGGGAAGCGGATCATGCCCGCCGCCGTGCCCTGCCCCAGGTGCCTGGATAAAGGTCCATCTGCGGGGCTGGAGGCTGCTTGTTGTGGAAAACACAAAAAACGTGAACAGCGTCAGGGAAGAGCTTTCAAACGCAGGAGGCTGTTTCCTCTTTTATCAGTTTATCTCGACGTCCTGTCACTACACCTTCTTTGAGGAGGAGGCCTTAAGTGACTCCACCCGTATTTATTTATAGATGCTGAATCAGTTGCCTGTATTCACTCAGCGAGCTGACTTGCTGTCCATAGCTGGAAATCCTCCTACTGCAGATTTTGGTATGAAGCTGACCAGGTCCTGAACACCAGGACCTCAGGGAGCATTGATTGATCATATCCATGTCRAACAAGAAGTGCAACTTAAAAGCTGTTTCAGATCAAAGTAGCAGCTCGGGCACACCCATCTGAATGAACAAAAAGAGGTAGAATCCATATAATTACTTCTGTCCAAAAAATCACTAAAAATATTGTTGTTATCACCTACATATAGAATTGTTGACTCATAGTTTTATTCATGGTTTGGAAGGGATTTTACAGATCATCCAGTTCCAACCCCTGCCATGCACAGAAACACCTTTTGCTTGACCATGTTGCTCAATGCCCTATCCAAYCTGGCCTTGAACTCTGCCTGGGGCATCCACAGCTTCCCTGGGCAACCTGCTCCAGTGTCTCACCACCCTCACAGTAAAGAATTTCTTCTGTATATCTAACCTAAATTACCKCTCTTCAGTTTGAACCCATTATTCCTTGCCCTATCACTTTAGTTCCTGGTGAATATCCATCCATATAATTTTGAGTACTCAGGGAGAAGTCTTCCGAAAAAAAATGTTTCAGTGTTGCAGCAGTGTTGCTTTAAGAAAAAAACTAAGGATTTTTTTTTTTAAAGGCACCCTAAAAAAGGGAAGTTAATGAATTATGCATTAACTTCTGCTGAGGAGCAAAGGGTGTCTGGGAATTTCAACATTTCGTGTCACCTTGTAGACAGACACTGTTTTCCAAAGTCAGTTATGTGATGAAGAAGATATTAAGATTAAATGAGCAGTGCAGAACTCAAAAGCAAACCCATAATTATTAATGGATATTTAAATTGGCAGGCAATCGATTTTTAAATTGTCCTTTCACCCTTGTGTGTAATGCGGTTTGCCTCACAGTGATAAATTAGCAGCAGCACTGTGCTGTGACTGTTTCTACTGGAAGGTTCTCATTACCATTCAGGGGTTTTGCTGGCTCATCAGTGAATCGTGGACAGCATTTCGATTGCTGAAGTGTGGCCCAGAAACCAGAGAAAGGATCGGAAACAGAGTCTATAAAAGCCTTTTCTTGAATTCTAAGATTGATTGGGTTCTTGAATAGGATTAAGTTCTTTGGCCTCAGTGTTACTATTTCTTATGCATCCCAGAGGAAGTGACAGTACACTCACCCCCTCTATCCCTCTCTTTAAGTCTTAGCATTCTTGTTAATCTGTCAGGAAAATAAGAACAGTAACATGTACTGGACTGAATGTGCTTTTTTTTCCTTAATTGAAAAGAACAATCCCCTTAATGCCTGTAGCACTGGGCTGAGATCTAAGGTTTTGATCCAACTTTTGTTATTCGCCTGCATCTCCAAGATAATTGTACTAGCAGCCTAAAAGAAGATCAAGTTAAGCATCTTCTCACACGAATTATTTTAAGTTACTAGTCAAAACATAAATCTCTTTTTTAGTTGCTATTCGGTATTTGTTTTATCTAGGTTTTGCTTAATCAGAGTTCCAATTAGAGCTAGTTTCAGTTTCGTCTATCAAAATAGACATTTTTAAAACAGTAAAGCTTTCATGAAGCASTGGTTTGCTGCCATTTCCAATGGGTTAGGTTCTGTATCTCAAGAACAGAAACTCCAATCAGACAGGGTGAAATTAATAAGAAAATTTTGTATTTTAGATCTGAAAATTCATATTGCAGGCAGTCTTGAGTAATTTTACAGGACTATGCTTTGATAAAATGCAAATAAATATCTGATCTTCTAATTCAAAACCTCATGAACCAGGATTTTGTCCTTCATATATTTCTAGTTCTGACAATAGTTCTTGTCTTTGTTCAACATTATTCCACTTCCCTCATTTTGCCTTGAYCATATTTACCTTGACCATATTTGCCTTGACCAWATTTACCTTGACCATATTTAGCGTTCCTGAACAGTTTGGATTGTGTGCAATGCACAATGCATCACGTTCAAGAGCATGTGGTCTAACAAAACTTGTGACAATCCTCTTGCCGCTCCTGGTATTTTCTCTTCTCTTTTTCCAGATTCAGAGTTTGCACATCAGCATTATTGCTTTTCACCTGTGTTCAGCTTTGTATTGTTACCAGTGAACAAAGCACACGAACTGAACTCGTACTAGACTTTCAGAATAAATGTCAGATTCAAATTCAAGGTATCTCAGAGGGAAAAAAATTGCCTTGCAATTAGTATAATATCAAATAAATGAAAAAATGGAGGGTACAAASTATTTTTCATGTTCACAAGGAATTGTTTAATCGATAATGGGCTTAAATTTCATCAGGGAAAATTTTAGTTAGACTTCAATTCAACTATGTGTTTAGTTGAACACTGGAAGACAAGGGCCATGGACGTTCCCTTATTTGAATATTTTACAATGTGATTAGACAAGCCTCTGTCAGGAATGGCTTGAGTAAATTGAATGCTGCTGTCAGGCAGAGGGATGGATTTGACTGTCTCTCAAAATCCCTCATTATTGTCTGTGCCTCATTTTCAATTGAAGATGTCCACTGTTTGGGTTTATGTAACCTTTGACATGGACAGGTGTCTGTGAAGGATGTTTTACCYTCAGTTCTTACCTGCTGTTTCCTGATACTGAGCTTGAGCTGTTTCATTCTAGAGCAGCACAAGGCTGAGTATAAGCTGATATTCTCAAAGTRACATGACCCCAAAAAAGGCAAGTAAATGCCTGGCCCAGCCCACTCTCCGCTGTTTAGTGCTGTATATTCTCCCCACAGATTTCTCCAGTCAGATACTGTCTGAAGGTCTAAGGTTAACAAGAACATGGGCTGTTGTGGATATCTGGAACAAAGGAGTGAATTTCTCAGCAAGCTAACCAAGGCAAGAAAGCATTTTGTCTTCTGATATCACCTAACAACCTAAAGATTCAGCCAGCACTTCAGGGATTGGCATGATGATGCCTTTGATGGAAGGTGAAGGTTTTCTTATCCTGTTCTGGGTTTATTCAGCAGAAAATTTCCCAAAGCCATGTTGTCATTTCAGCAATGACAGTACTTGCAGCAGATGAGTGTCAGTGGCATGTTGTGAAATCTATCTGAACCCTCTGTGCACCCTTTCATTTACAGTGGACTCAGGGAGTTACTGAAAGGTGAATTACTTTGGGCAGATACCTCTACAGCCTGCAAATAAGAGAAAAAGGAAAGAAACAGTRCTACTGAGGGGAACAGCTGCTGCTACTGTAAGATGAGGCTGTCAGATCATCTTCCTTGTGTTCATGGTTGTAATACCAGACATTGCAGAGGCTCTTGAGATGTGCAGTTACCCAGGAACAGAGATCTTACCTACGTCTGCAGGAGACATTATAACATCCATGTACAGCACAGTGATTATGTCACATGCCATTGGAGCTGGGAATTTACTGAGCTCTTTATTCGAGATGAGCATGAACTGAGCTGGAATTCACTTCAGGGTCAGCTTTGTAGAAGATTTTAAAAGTCAGATATTGGTTTCTTTGGGACTACCTCACTGTCAGTAGATTAGACAGAAAAGTTCCCTTAAAGGAAAGTCTTGATGGAGGGGTTGTGGCACTCTGCTCTTGCTCACTCTGATCTCRTGTAAAAGCAGTTCTTACATTAAATGGGCATTGTTAACTATTGTTAACTTGAGCTGAGAAGCCACGTTAACATAACACAAGCAGTGCAGCCCCATGTCTTCTGTGTCTGCAAGTATCTTCAATAGCAGGTGTGTTTCAGCAGCACTAGCAGGATCAGCCTTGGACCTCTGCACTTTTTCAGTCACTGATCTTAATTACTGATCACTGCAAGTGAAGAAACAAATATGAAAAGGACGATTTAAGGCCTCAGTCCTGTATGATAGTGACTGCCTCAGCTGGTCAAGTCTGGGGCAGTTGGGGTCACTCAGCATCTTGAAGGATGAAGCCATGGAATGAAACAACACCTCTAATMGGTAACAGAGACTAAAAATGTGGATTTATTATAAGTACTGATTAAACAACAATTTGGGCTGACTATGGCATCTTATGAAAAGGATTGTTGTTATTCAAGTTTGGGGTTTTTTCACAAGAAGAGTAGTATATCAGTATGTTCAGATGAACAGAAAGGAAAAACCATGAAACTCTACAGCAGAAATTGATTTATTTATGAGTTATTAAATTTGAAGTTATCCTTAAATACAAATAATATTAGAAACAAACTTGTAAGCTTGTACAAAAGCAACAGGTGAATGATTATGTGAACAAGGTCATGCTGGAATCATGTGAATAGAACTCATGATTTTCTGTGATCATTCTCTTACATTTAAAGTAAAAATAGGCCCTTACCCCTGCAATTTACAATACACAGGAAATCTGGAATTCTTGCCCCAAACTGACAATCCATTGTTTATTGTGAATCATATGGGTTTAGTATTACAATTCTATGTCATAAAACAGGATAAAATATGAATTGCTAATATTTTTTCATTCTGCTGGCTTTTCCAATGCTCCTGTGACCATATCAGGAAGTTTAAGCAATCTGTGTGCCATATGTGAAAATATCTGAGTCATGAATATGCTGAATTTCAAATAAGATCTATTCTCCAAGGACTTTGAGCTCAGCCTGGGTAGAGGTAATCATGAAGATCAGAAGTCTTTTCCTTAATTCCTGATTGATTTAGATGCTTTAATATAATCTTGTTGATTTTCTTCAGCTCTTCTATGTTCTTCTTTTCAGATAGTAGTCTGCTTGATATTTGGTCCATCTCATTTCTAGTTTGAACTTGAAAAGGAAAGTGTACCACATTAAATTTGCAACATTTAACTCAAGAGCATCACTATGCTCACTTGCATTCCTGTGAGACTTTGTGAGGAATTATGATGACTAAAAATATAAATCCTTTCTAAACAGGAAAGCAACTGTAGAACCCAATGATAAGAAGTTATATATTTGGTGGGTTTGCCTACTCACAACTTCTTTTTTTTTTTTTGCTTGTTTTTCTGGATGTTATTTTCAGTTTAGTGCAGAGTAATAAAATCAAATATGGCTCAGATAATTTCTGCAGTTTTCAGGAGTGTATCCATTTCATTAGTGTCCCCACGGAAATGTCTTATTTAGGGGCTTCAAGATCTAATTGGTGGTCAGTACGTGCATCCATTTTTCTAAAGGTACAATTACTACACTAATTGTAGTACAGCAGTAAAAAATCCCACAGCAGACTACAGCACATTACTGGATTTCTAAATCATTTAAATTATAGGAAAATTCTTGCAAATACTGGCATTTCAAGGTCAGCCTCCTCTGGCTCACCAGTATGCACTCTTAGAGCCATTTTTGTTTTGGCCTTCTGAAGTTAAAAAAAATTACCCATGGGTTTTGAAGCTTAAGTGGAATAGTGGCAATGTTAAGTGAATCCATGCATGTGGTTTGCAAACATTTCACATATAATATAACACACGCAGACATACATGTATATATATATATCTATCCATATATATATATCTATTTCTATCATAGAACATTGTAACATAAACTGAAACACTGCTGGAAATCAGTTTCAAAAGCCAAAACCAACCAATATGAGCCCAACCAAACTGCTTTAATTCTTGTAAGAAGGCTTTTTATTTTAGTTTATTGTTTTTCTACTACACWACATTAATTTTTCTATACCAAGGCTCTACTTTTAGCATCTCCTTGTTAAATTAATCTGAAAATCAAGAATAAGGTGTCTCAAATAAGGTTTTACAATCATGTCACTTAAAATCTACTTTGCATTTGTTACTTGTCTGGTATTTCTTTCTTTAAATGTCTGTAAGAAAATTTAGTCAAGGGTTAGAATTTCCTGGTCAAAAACGAAAATGAGGATTTTCGCTATGTTCCAGCAAATTTCCTGCTATAGGATAGAAGAAATCTTTATTTCACATGGGTTCCAATTCTTTCAAAATTTACTTGTAAATTTCAATAATGCATCTCATAATCTGTTCAATATCATTCGCTCAGAAACCCCCAAGATGACAAGGGTTTTATTAACCAGCATGCGTTTAGCTAAACCTGCCTGATCAGTCCTAAAAAACTGGAGCAGTAGTTCTAYCCACAGAGTCAATGCTACATGCAAATCTTGAAATAGGTTATCTAATTTTTTTTCTTATGCTTGAGATTCTCTTACTTCCAAACCAATTTCCAATCAGTATTTTAATGACAACCCYCAGGTCTTCCTTCAGGTAGCCTGATTTAAGTATTAGCCTGGGTGTAATTCCAGTTTCAGTGGAATGACCCAAATACTGAGTTTTATCTGGAAAGGAATGGAAGGCACATTGCTGAAGCATCTCACTGCCATACCATTATCTTTAAATTTCATTTCCAGTCAGCATTTTTAGCAACATAGTATAATACTGCTGAGATAAATTCTTCACAGCTGTTGAAGCTCACAAATCCTTAGCACTAAGAATAAAACTGTGCCTTTTTGCCCTGAGAAGGTGTTGTTTGCCTGTGCTTCTGTCCCCAGGACCAGGACCCAGTGCCCAGAACCAGCAAACACAGCAGTAGCATGTTACCAGATAGCACGACACATTTCAGCAAAGCTCTTTTTCCAATTGGCCCCACATTTTTAAGAACCACTCTTTGGTTTACTTACTTATTAAGAATATTACCAATGAGACAAGTGCCAAACTGATGATCAAAGTAAAAATAAAGGTGACAAAGAACAGACACTGGTTTCTTGGGTTGTTTCCTGCCATGCTTTTTCCAGTTCCACCAGTGTTCTCTTCCTCATCTGTTGAGAGATGACAAATCATTTGGTGATAATGTTTGCTAAGGTTGGTTAGGATAAGCATGACAAAATGCTTCTGGCTTCATGAAATGATGCAGAACACATCATATATTTGCCCAACAGATTTTATTTCCTGTGATACTGTATGAAAAGGGAAGAAATCAACTTTTGAACTCAGCTTGAATTTAGAAGTATAAAAAAAAAATAATACATCTGTTATAGCTGTTAGAACACTTTCAACAAAAATGTTTCGGTTGTTGAAATACAGTGTTTTGTTGAAGTTGACCTGTTCTATGGTTCAGAGTTTTACAGCTGTTTTACATGTACAAAGGTTGCAATGAAGTTTCCATCAGGCAGATTTTTAAGGGCTTGAATGCAGTTAACCTTTTCAAAAGGGAAGAGAGAAAAATTAATATTGAAAACCAAGGTACAGATTCATTGTACACATTCATCCTCTAGATACATTTCTTTTTCTGTTTAATGAGAAGTATGCCTGGGATGATTAATTTCCCAAAGCAAACACCTCAGTTAAGCTCCTGATGTTGGATAGAATGAATGTAGGTCTTGACTGTTCTATCTTAAAACAAATGTTTTCAATATTCTTCTCCATCTTCAGGATTTGTTAGTTTCATTCCAGTAAAAAATGCAATACCTATCCTTCCAATTTTCAAGAATGGAACACTCTTATATGGACAACAGATGTTGTCCTTTAAGCACAGGAGAATGAGGGGGAAAAGGAAAAGCACCTGCAATGCTGACCTTGAATCAGCCCAAGAAGTCAGTTGATTTCTTTTTGAAGAATGTGTTGCATATATAGGGAAAGTCAGTAGTTTCTCTTATAGCAACAGTTGCAGTCAATGTGAGGTKGCAATAAGCCCCAAAGATAACAAGTCAAGTGAATACCATGAGGAAATCCATGTGAAGTTAAAAATTTATACTTGAACCAGATTTGTTTAATCTTAAGTTTGTGTAATAACTTACAAAGATTTAGGTTTATTTTCTGTTTTGCAGGGAGGAGGAAGCTAACATAATTTYATTTTGGGCTCAGTGCCATACATACTAAAATTACATGCAAATTACTGTAATTTATCCTTCTGTAATTGCTGTCTTGCCGTTCTGAAAGGGAGAGTAGTGTGTGCATCTGTGAAATGCATATTTCTAGCTCATGTTCTTGTTTTAGCTGTTTTAGGAAATCTCTGAGGTCTTTGCAACTGAGCCTGTAATGATAAMGCTGAGGAAAGGCTGGATATACTATTATAGCACTTTAATAATGACCCTGCCTGGGGCTGAGCAATTCACTAAGCCAGTAGATCTCTGGGAGTATCTCTGCTTTTCTTTATTTTATGTTTAACACACTCCTGTGCACGAGTAAGCTAAAATATTTTCATATTTGTGCTTTGAGGTTCTGTTGTTCTATTCCCTTAGCATTCATAACAAATGCACCATACAGACTGCCCCAATAATGCTTTCTAATCAGAATAATAGGGATGGGCAGGGCCTGCTACTACTGCCTCAAAGCATCCTAAGCTATCAAGAGCAGTCTCAAAAGTGGTCTGAGCTCGCTCTGCCTAATGAGTTCCTCTTGCTATTTCATCAGGCTGAACCTGCCAGACTGCAGTGTTGTGAGGAATTGATGAACTCACATTCTCGTCAAACTGCAAACAGTAGGAACATTTTATCATCTAAAMCATAAAGAAATTACTGCATGGTTCCTACTGAAGCAACCAAAAGGTATATACATTTTAAATAGCTTTCAACATCTCTGATTTTCTGGCAAAAGAACCAGTTTTATGCTGCTGAGTAAGGTAGATGATGGGATATCTACAGACTCTCCAAGCTTAAAAACTACATTAAAAGAATAATCCTAGAAGGAACCAATGCACTTTACAAATTTATGATTAAAATACTTACTAAGCTACCATTATTTATTGTGGAAATGTAGGGAGGAGCATGCATGTGATTATTCCAGAGAACCATATATGTTTCCACAGAACCTTTTATATTTACCGGAAAAGTAAACAATACTGTCCAATAAAGGTTGCAAAAGAAAGTAGAATAGTCACATTGAAAGTTTCTGTGATATTAAAATCGATTTGTGCCATTGCCTCATTTTATATGTGTAGAAATTATAGTAACAAGATAATCAGCATATGAAAATTCAGTACTTTATGCCTAACATTTGTGTTAAATGCAGAAACCAGAACTACTCTAGTTAGTTTCATTAGGAAAAGTTAGAGGACTTAGAAACAGAAGTAATGAGAAAACATTTAAGACTCATAACCTGAAGCATGATTAAGTTATGGCCATTTGAAACACATTTCAACATTGCTGTTGATCTATAAATTTCTTCACTCAAATTTTCCATTACAATAAAGGAATTAAAAGCAGATTCAAATATTGTTATTTGGAATGCTGCTGAAGAGCTCCAGGGTTTTTATTTTCAGTTCACAAAGAACTGAAATATATTGTAGCTATCACTGAGTGAAAATATTCTTCTTGCTGTAAGAAATCAAAGGCAAAGGCCTTATCAAACCAGTAGAAGTGTGGGAGCTATATCTGAAACTGTAAGCAAAGTCTGGAAAGTAAAATGCTTAAAAGTTTAAYGGGATATTTCAGGTAACTGGTTTGAGGAGATGTGTCTTAAAGGAATGAACAGAAATTCTCAGGTGCTTCCACTGCCACAGATGAATTTTAGTGCTTGGGAAGAGTTATGATGCTATTTATATAGTSGGTGTATATTGGGCATTACCAGAGACATTATCCTGCAAGTGACCACCTTGTAAATCCTGATTGAAATGGAAGATAAATTCACATTTGACAGTAAATCCCTAGCTAAATSCAAGGATTTTCAAAACCCTAAAGCTGAAATACTCAGCAGGGGTAGCTAAATCATTGTCTGATCTGTCTAAATTATGCCATTTTCAATCTTTTTCTTATATTTTCAGTACAGAGGTTGGCATACATATTGGCCTATTAGGCTGTTGACATCAGTGATGCACAATGGGGATTGTATGTATGGAAATCCACAGATCACCTGTCCCACATACCTAGTGAACACTGGGATTCATCTGGACAAACATTCAGCTTGTTGAGATTGTTTAGGGAATCAACYACATAAAGTTTTCCTTCTTCATGAGTATCAGGCAGGTTAATTTCCAAGGAAGGCCTCTCCATTGTATCTAARAGAAACAATAATTTAAAAGGTAGATTAACATAGATATGGGAAATRAGTTGTAACAGTTGGCATCCTGCTCTGAGGAAATACTGAGCAGTCTAAACAATCCTTAAAATAAAGGTATTTGAAGGGCCAGCACTTACTAGATTGTGAAGGCAGGGACAACTCAGAACATAGCACATAGCACTTGTTTGTTCTTGGAAATCTTTGATGATTAAAACATTTCATTTCTGCATTATGTTTGTGCACATACGTATGTGTATGGGGAGAAAGAGAAAAATCAACCTGACTGGCTCCAGCATAGATTTGAATGGTAACTTTTTAGTGTATTACCCTTTGACTTGGTGAGTACCTGCAAGGGGTGGTGTGAGATCCTGATCACAGCGAAAGCCAAACCTTCACTAACACTGCCAGAAAGAATGTCACTCAGGTCCTTTTCTTTCAGCATCAGATAATTCAGAGATAAGACAAGGAAAACAGGTATGAATGTAGGAGACAAGCAACAAGAATATATGTCTGTTCATACAGTTTAGAATATTGCTGTGAAGTTTTTATTTGTGAGAAATGGAACAAAAGATGTTGTCTTCTAATTTGGTTCTAATCCACACAGTTTTGGACAAATTAAAAAAGCCTTTTCTTAAGGTTAATACCCCTTGCTTTAAAAAAGGCACTGGACAAGGCCCAGTCAGTAAAAACAGTTTCTCTGTAGAGTCTGGGTACATAAACTCAGTGAATGATTCTTAATATAAATACAGTTTTGAAGGAAGATTATTGAAAAAGCAATACATAAGGAGGCTGCTTCTATGTATTACAAATTATTCCTTGTCAGTCTTTTGCTTTTCTTTACACTGCTTTGATTCCAAAAACGTCTTCTAGAAACATATTACACTTCTAGCCATAAGGAGAAGCAGACACCTCTAAGGAGGCATTCCTTTGTAGACAAAGTAGATTGTCTACATGTGTCACTCAAAACTCCCTCTATTTATTGGAGAAAAATCCATTCCTCCAGGTAATATCTCTCTTATTCTAAGACATGCCTTTGTCACCTTAGAATCACAGCTTAAATATAGCTTTTTCTTGCTAGTGAATGTAAGGAGGGAGCTCCCAGAAATTAGTTTAGATTTGGAGTAGAATATATCTTGCCCATTTAGTATTTTATAAAGCTCCCGAGTTCAGTTTTACACACCAACATAAATCAGCACYTCATGGGATGCAAACCTCCCTTGATGATGTGTGTTAAGCACCTAAGAGTGATTTCTGAATCCTGGATGGGTTGAACTGTACTCTTGATGTGCTTCTGAGCCTTCTCTTCCTCTCTGAGAAACAGAGAACACACTGTGATCAGGTTATTAATATAACACTTAAATTAAAATCCTAGAATTAGAGGGATATAGCCCTGATAGTTTGCAGAAAATACTCACTCTTTCCCTCATCAAACTAAATGCAGAAGATTGTTSTAATTCCCCCAAATGTGATCACACAGCAAAGTAGACATTCAATGAGCTCAGTAAGCCTGAAGACTAAGCACTGAAATCAATCCTGATAACAGGGCTTGTTCTCCTGCTAGTAGAGATGGATGGGACTATACGGATCCTTTTATATTTCCTTTTAACAGCACATAAGAAAGGATGACAGCTTATTTTTTCCTCTGTTCAGAACTGTTGCTTCAAAGTACAAAGGTAGCAAAGCTGGTGTTGCAGGGGTTAGCCTTACCTAGCATATGATTTTTAGGTGTGCAGCAATGACTTTGGGGCAGATGGCTGTGCCCACTGTCCTTCCTCTAGAACATCACGTGGCACCAGGCAGCACAGCCTGTGAGCCACATCCCCACCCGTGCTGCCTCTGCTCTGCWGTCTCCCCACGTGCACATTCACGGCCAAGCACAATCATTATGGAGCCCTGCGTTTGAATGGTGTGCCARAAGTTACCACTTGTTGTACAAACGCTTTTGGTTATTTTTAGATTCTGAAGAGCAGTCGCTTCTCTCGGGTATTTTGATTAATACCTCCCTGAAGCTTCAGGGAAGACTCTTCTTAACAACCYGAGCTGTAGTAAATATGAGTACCTTTGATTCATTAGTATTATGAATTATATGTTTCTCCATCTGCTACTAATTATTTAATTATTTGCACATATAAATATAGTGAAGATTACCATTATTAATTTTTAGAAGTTTCTATTGCTTTTAATTTCATTAACATGCCAAAGGAGAAAGGATACAAACATCAGTGTTTCTGGACAAAGTATTGATTATTTTCTCAACAAACCAATCTAAACATTGGGAGTTTTGGATTCACTTTATCATGTACTTTAACCTTGCCTAAAGACTTTTTTGCCTGATGCAACTTTTATTTTTAAATTATTGTGGTAAAATAAAAACTTAGAACGACAACAGACCAAAAAGTCTTCACAGAAAAAAGGTAATAAAATATAGAATGTTAAAAAACAGGAAAATGAAACATTACTTACAACATAATTATATTCAGGTAATGTGCCAGTGTGGAAGAAATCAGCCAGTGMAAATCATGTGTAGAAAACTTGTTCTGCAGTTCCTCTCTCTACTTTTAGTCCCATAGGAACCTGTTGAATCCTGCAGTACCCATAAAGATAGCTATGAAACAGACTGCCCCTTTCAGTCTATATTTAGAGCTCAACTTGGCTAAGTATACTGACTTCACAATATTGATCTGCTAAAAAAGAAATCAGCACATACACAGCTCCTTTTTGTTATACTGGAATCATGGTAACATGCTGTCATGAAGGAGGGTTATAACTGATGACCAGTATTTCCCTAACCTTTGGTTGGTGCCAAACCTTTCAGGTTTAGTGCTTGTCTGAAAGGCATTTGCTATGCAGAAGAGTCATATCTACAACACTGTAGCTATGAGTAACCAGTTCGCTATGCAGAAGAGTCATATCTACAGTATTGCAGTTGTGAGTATTTTAAAGTCATAGACCAGAAAAAAACAGGGTCTTTTCCAGCTTCTCCCATACACCTAATGAATTCAAGTGGGACAGTATTAAGGGGTGAACTCATTTGTCTGGCATCTGACGCTGTTCTAAGATTAATTCTGAGAAACTGGTGGCAAGCAGTTTAAATGCTCCTTTGCTGACAGATCTTTTGATCATTTTTCTTTGCTGACATTGTAGAAGGCAATGTTACAGCATGCTGTATTAACAGGCACCTGACACATAGAGGGACTGCAGTGCAAAACAAATCCCTTCTGAAGCCATCCTGTCTAAATTTCTGAATCCCTTTAAACTGACAATAAACATATGTTACTTTGAGGAAACAACAGAAAATAAATCACCTGACTCATATTTCCCACCCTAAGCTGACAAGTTCTGCTGCCCATARAACCACTCCCATTCTGCAGGGGTCTCCCAGAAGTCCTCCCTCCAAATACAGATGTGCAAGCCAGAAAAAAAAAAAAAATCACTGTGACTTCCATGCCCCAAAAGCTCCTGCCACCAACATAGTTTTAAGAYCAGGACCCAGGCCTCTCCAGTTCTAAGCTTGAAAGTGCCTGCAAACCGATGGGATAGCTGTAGGACTGCAGTACAACCCACCTCTGCAACAGCCCTACAGGTCAGGGTGGGTGGCAGCTAGTGTAACAAGGAAAAGGGCAGCCTGCTGCTTGGCCTCCAGCCARGAGGTGCTGTAGAAATGCTGCTGGACAGGAAGCTCTCAAAAGTGCCCTGGCAAAAGGGACTACACAGAAGCCACAGGAGAGGCCAACAGGCTTGAGGTAACAGTTCAGCTCAAAGGGAACTGTCTTGGGCCAGGCAAGCACAGGCACACAGCTTCACCTTCACAAGCACAGCTTCACCTCAGTCAAGGATCAGGTTTTCTCCACTTGTATGACAACACATGTTCATCATCAGAGAGTGCAGTTGAAGGCCTTGGTATATGCAAGTGATCAGTTTTGTAATCTAAACAAGCTCTTACATAATGGGTGTATTGAGGGGAAAAAAGGTAACTTGTAAGGTACAACTCAGTATACTTGAACTTCGTGGAATAGGTTCTGCTGTACCCAGAAAGTGGGAGGGGAAAAAAAAAAAAACCAAACCAAAAAGAAAAACACTCCACCCCAAACCAAACTTTGCCTTATCAGAGCAAACAAGTTTGCAGTAGGCAGTGTTTTGTTTTCAACGCAATGTTTACTTCATTTGATGATGTTTATTCTAACAAGCACTCCTATAGCTCTTCAGGAGCAGAAGCTCCAGTGATCTAGGTTTTATTATCTTTATTACGTAAGCCACACAATGCTATTCCTAAGACAGTTCTTGGTTACTGGCACATTTCATCTTACAGAGCCAGAAACTGAGCTTAGTTGTTTTCAACATAACAAACACAGGGAAGATGGAATGGTTCCTGTAAGGGAAAGGATGTGTTTTGCAGCACGGAAACTTAAAACATTTGACCACTAGAGAAGCAATGGCATATCAAGAGTAGGCTGTTGTGCAGAGCACATACAAGTATGAGACACCTTTGAAACACAGCATGGTAGACTTGCATGCAGCATCTTCTAAAACAATGTGTCTGAACCAGCAAATAAACAAACGCATCCCATTCAGCCCTTAGGTTTTGCCAGTGTTACAGCTTTTACTTCATTGAATAACTACTTTAACACAGAGAGCAGGCAGTGAGAAACATCTTTATTCCGAAAATTAAATAATCAATTTCAGAACACAAGAATCTTGCTTTTATTTTACATGAAGGCAACTATTTGTCATTTAGTACTTGACTACCACTGGAAGTTACTGAACTTAGTCCCTGTCTGAATAAAGTCACACTACATAGGAATTTCATTGTCCGTCGACCACTGGAGAGTTTAAAAAAGTTACTAAAATAATTTCACACAAACCTGGTCATCTTTTCATATTAGCACTTCTTACCAAAACAGTTGGTCAACGAATTACTTTACCTTTGTATAAAGAATCCAGCCTGACACACAGCATTTGACTAGTTATCCACCCCATTTAATATATCCATTACAACATAATCATCCTGTGGAAGAAGTGGGGGGGGAGGGGCCTAATGAGTGTTATAATGTATCCCTGCACRAAATGTGACAAGCATTTATATACAGTGTATATGCAACTAAGCAACAACATGCATTATATTTACAGACTATGTAACAAACCTGTGCACAATCGCAAACTAACTACAGACGTTAAAAAAATTCATTTTAATGTTACAAATTTATTTGAATGATGAAAATTGAACACCATTGAAAAGGGAATCTAAAAAAATTCCCCCACATCAGCTCTTTTATCACGACATTTACTTCTAGCCTTTGTCCGAGCCTTGAATGCTGCTGAGTTGTACAAGTGCTACAAAATAAATTAAAAAAAATTAATTACATATTGTCATACAGCTTACACCCTTCAGGGATTTCTCATTACAAAACAAACGAAAATATCTTTATTAATATTTTTAGTAAACTGGTAGGCCTTCTGAAATTCATAGTACACTATCTTTGCACCAAAGGCTGATTTCATTTTAGGATCTATTTATGGAAAAATATACATATATATACATCTAAAACTTGGCCTGTATAAGAAAGGCTGAACTAGGAGCAGTTCTGGAAGCTGGTCAGTCTTGAACATCAAACAGATACCATGTAGGTTACATTTACCCCCAGATAAAACTTGGCAGCACCAACTTCCAAATTACATGCAGAATAAATGCATGCACAACCAACAGAACAAAGYCAATCCCCTGGTGCCCACTTCATACTGCAGAGTCTGGGATGGTTTCCTATAGGTCCCTCCCCAAAAACACATATCTCTCAAAAGAGACCACGTGTGGAGCATGAATCTGACACCCATCAGCAACCTTCAGAGCTCTTGAAAAAAACACAGTAGCAGACACATGCCCAGTGGAAAATCTAAGAGCTCATAAATGCTTACAAGTAAGGATGGGTTTCATTCAGGACAATATGAGGCACTCTCARAACTACAGTGACAATGCCAGTTTCTTAAGCAGAGGAGAAATGAGATAAGGGTATGAAGTAAAGAAAATTCATTAAGGGGCAATAACCTACCCTTTCAAAACGGGATATCTTCATTGTTTTAAGAGTCGCAGCATCCAGCATTACTGGTGGACCAAGCTCAAACACATTCCGAAGAAAGTCATTTGACTAAACAAGAAACACAACAATTGATCAACTTCTCCCCTTAATTATCAAGTCTCTAAAGCTGACGACTGTTAAATTTTAAGTATTCCAATAAGAAATACTAAGGTTTGTGTCAAATTGCTGCTACATTTTGCAATTAAGAATACTTCCTCCTTTAACCAGAATAAGRCTAAGAGTGAAAACTGCCCCCTTGAGAAGACAGACTGCTCCTTCTGCCTTCTTTGATATTTTTGTCCCAGCAAATTAGACACTGTTCTGTTCTACTCAAGATCAGGCAGCTGAACACAGACTTGCATGGTTTCACAATACACCAGTTTTAAAATATCAGTCTGTGAAAGTAGTACTTGAAAAAAACTGAAAAACCTGCTACATGCCTGAGCTCCTTCAGTCACACAGAAATTCAATTAACATAGGACTGAAGACTTTAACCCTATGATTATTACAGCAATTTGGGAGCCTATATTCCTAAGCTATAGTTCCTGCTTCTGCTACATATATAAACAGATGACTAGTAAAACAAGCAATTCCCAGAACAGAGATAAGGACTTGTGCCTTCTCTTTTGGAATGCTGTTGTCATTGGACTGCAAGTTGTGTTCATTGTTTTTRACTAAAACTTTGCCTCCCTTTCTACAGGCTTGCACAGCTTTATAGCAGCCACATGACTACACCACTCTGCTTAAAGAGAGCATAAGGATTCGGGAAAAACCCAGAACCCAAAATGATAGTAAATTTCTTACTTCTTGGAGAAGTCAATTACTAAAGCCAGCACACCTAGGCTACAATTCAGAAACAGCTTAAAGCCCAGACCATTGTAGCTCACTGTAGTTAATTTTTTAAGTGCTGTCTTTTAACATTTCAAATAAAAACTCATCATTTCACTAAGCTCTCTTAAGGATTTTCTAAGTTAGACTGAATTACATCAAAGAAGTCAGACATGGAGCAACAGTCTGCGTAAGTGTCAAAGAGCAGCTCACCTGCAAATGATACTGCATCCCTGACCCCAGAATCTCCTTGAACGTCTCATAAGTTTGTTTTTTAACCCAGCAGTCAATRTACATGCGCTCAGGTCCAAACTTCACCATCTCTGTAGGGAAGTCACGCTCCTATCCAAAAATCAAAGGAAACAACATACATAATTTTAACAGTCTTGTACTAGGAATTTTATATATCTCAATGAACTTTATTTTCACTGATAAATCTGGCACACCAAAACCTTCCAAATAATACAGTATTAATATACTAAAGATTGTATTTGTTCATAAAGCAGATGCACACCTACAGCCAAATCTCATTTAGAACTTGAAGCTCGTATTCTTMATCAGACAGCTTTTTAAAATACAAATGCTCAACTTTCATCTTCAGAATTACTTAAASAACTGGATTTATCTCTAGAAAAACAAGTTCTGATGGCAGAAGTAACCTTTAAGACAGCCTGGAAGCATCGTTTAGTCTCTACCTTATGAGTAGCTGCATTTGGGACAATGGAACGTAGCAAGTACCAATACGTGACTCAGATCCTAGGACAGGCAGAATCTTAAAGGCGACTTCAAATCATGCCAAGTCTTCTCCTTGCCTTCCGAGATATTTAACTATTTCAGTATCAAATAATATTTAGTCGGCCTTACCAATAGAGCTATGTAAAAATAAATTATCTGACAAGCAAAAAAACCCAAACCATTGTAGATACCAAACCTGCTAAAATGAGAGAAATTTTACATTTGTGTTAGAAGCTTTACTCAGAAGTTAATGTCACTGATCAGAGTATTTTTATCATTCTGCTTTGCACATTGCTCTCTTCATCTAGATATGGAAAACCAGAAGATTATGGTACACTTTGGACAACTCCCCCCATACACTGACACTTCCATGGCTCTTAACAGAAGCATCATTTGTAAAAGCAGATCATTACTAAGTTGCTTTTTGTTTACTATGCAGCTCAATAAGAGATTTCACAATAAACCTTTCATGAAAGAATTTGGGGTTTACAGTGCAATGCTTAACCTTCTGTAAAAGAAAAAAACCCCTCTCAATATGGAAGTCAAGGTTGGAGTAAAATAAAGAGCATTTGCCTTTCTTTGTTCTACACTCCTAAAAAAAGCAGTTCTAATTCAAATAAGTAATCAGACCTTGAAAGATTACTTAAAATAGGTTTTTCCCCATTTCTTTCATTGAAACAGTAATTCTATTTTATAAAAAATTGTTTTCACTAAATTGCACACTACATATTTTGAAGGTCTAAACTGTAACCAAGAGAAAAGAATCACCTCAACAGCCCGTAGAACGTCTCTGAAGACGGATCGCTGCTTTCTTTTATCCACTTTGGCCCGGTGTTTGTTTCCATCAGTAGCCAAAGCTCTTAGTTTCTCTGTTAGAAGGTCCATATCTTCATAAAAGAAATCCTAGTTAAATGAAAACCAACATTTTAAATTCTTTTTTATTGTCTGGCCTCAACCTCTTTCCCTGCAAATAAGAAAAGCRATCTCTTTGAATTTTGGGCATGTAGAGTAGATCTCTACAACTTCTTACTTTACTTAAAAAGAGAGCACTCCTGCAGTTCYATTTTCAGCACTTAACAGTAAGAACAAGGTCACAGCATCCAGTTTACCAGGAAGAGCACTAACAAAGTCTGTTCTGGTAGTCAGCCATATGAACCATACAGCTC